AAGCATCCTGGGGTCATGTGATGACCCTTTGCGACCTTCCCAGCCAGCTTCAGAGAAGCAAAATAAATGGGGGGAAAGCAGGATTTGCTTAATGACCGCATGATTAACTGTTCTGACTCAGCCTTAGCAGAAGCAAGAAACAGACTCCTTGTCACGAAAAAAACCCTCTTTATTTACCTCTTGTGAATTAATTACGTTCACCCAGCAAAAAGTCCAGGCAATAGTCCTTCAAGGAGTTAACTACAGTAACAGATCTTATCAGTTCCTTGGTATAATTGCAAAGCTCTCATCCGAAAGGCTGCAAATTAATTTCTGGCAGGCAGCCTTTAATGCACGAAACACGATGAGCAAAATCTTCAGAAATACGAACTGTTGTCTCCTACGACAACCCCTTTCCTTCTATTTATTCCCAGCCAGACAGGACCCATTCAACGTCCACGTTTGCTTTGCTTCCCGAGTTGACTCCTTGTCCTCTGTTGTTCTCCTAACAGCTCTGCGCATGCACACACTGGGAACAGGCTCCAGCTGTTCCTCTGCCTCACTGATGTCTGACTCCGAAGGCAGCTGATAATTGCCAGACAGCCTTGGTCCCCTCTCTGCCTCTGACACAGAGTCCTCTTCAGAGCGTTCCCCAGACTCCAGTACTGGCCCCAGTTCCTCCCCAACCTCCTCATCCTCCGAGTCTGCCGCCAGCTCCGCCGGCAGCTGGCGGGCCACAACATTAACTTAAATGAGCGATTCACTTAACCACGGCAACCTCGCTTTATGTAATGGGAATTCTGATCCCAATTATGGTTGTAGGTCGAGGACGACCTGGTATCTTCCAGAAAATCAAGGTCCAAGTAACTCCATTTTTTTCCCCTCAGTTTACAACGTCCGCTAATAATCTTCCCTTTTCATTTGCCAGGGATTCCGCGATCCTCTTTTCAATTGTAGTTGTTTCACAATATACAGATAGTCCTTGATTTACAACTGGTGTGGACGCCTCGTTTTAATGGCCAGGCTCCATTGCGGTTGTAAGTCAAGGACTATCCGTATGGTCTACCCTTTGACCTCAATTGAAAGCCCCAACTCCCAAGAGGATAAGTCACAGCCCTCTGTTGTCTTGTGTATTTCGGTGTCCTGTCCCTTTGTGTTCTCTCATGTCTTGTGCTTCGGGCTGACTCTGTTGCTTGTCTTGGACAATGCTTAGGACTTGGTCTTCTTTTTAATGTGAATCGCTGTGGGGTATTTTGTGCAGTGGTACATGTCAGGTGTGGACCTGTGGGGGAAGGAAAAAAAAAACAAGAGTGTTAACTGATTTTTATTTTTGTTTTGTTTGCTTTTAACTAGGCTTCAGAGTTAGGTCAGAGTTTAAATGAAAATGTTCTCAAACCTGCACAGGAAAAGGTAACTTTGGAACCAAGTACATGACTTTTAAAATGCACTTTCCTTCTGAACCTAGCAAGCTTACTCAGTATGAATTACGTCTAGTTGTAACATCGGGTGTAAACCTACGATCCCAAATCTCATCACTTTGTAGGTCCCATCCAAACCTTCCTGGGTTATATTTCAAGATATCTACCAATAGAAGAGGGACACGGTGGCTCAGTGGCTAAGACGCTGAGCTTGTTGATCAGAAAGGTTGGCAGTTTGGCGGTTCAAATCCCTAGCGCCGCGTAACGGAGTGAGCTCCCGTTAACTTGTCCCAGCTTCTGCCAACCTAGCAGTTCGAAAGTATATAAAAATGCAAGTAGAAAAATAGGAACCACCTTTGGTGGGAAGGTAACAGCGTCCCGTGCGCCTTTGGTGTTTAGTCATGCCGGCCGCATGACCACGGAGACGTCTTCGGACAGCGCTGGCTCTTCGGCTTTGAAACGGAGACGAGCAACGCCCCCTAGAGTCGGGAACGACTAGCATGTGTGTGCGAAGGGAACTTTTTACCTTTACCTTACCAGTAGAAGAGAATGTTTTAGCTCAGGGTTGAACTGTGGGGTCCTTGGTGCTCTTTGAGTTTGGTGAAGACATTTCATTACCCAGCTAGGTTACATCATCAGTGCTAAAAGCAGTAGAGTTTGCTTTCTGTTTATATACAAGCAGCTTGCCCTGTCAGTGTTGGTGGGACTTCCTTCTAGCGCTGATGATGTTACCTGGCTGAGTAATGAAATGTCTGCAAGAAAACAACCAAGCTTAGAGAGAACCCCATTAAATTTATACCCCAAATTCGATGTTGCTTTTCCCCTTTGTCTCTCCCTCCTGTTCAGCCCTTCTGTCTCAAATTCCCGATTCACTTATAGCACCAGGATGTCGATTTTCCTAGAAAGAAACACAAAAGTGTTTCCTTTCCTTCTCC